AAATCGCACCGACAAAATGCCATACAGGTCTTGGTGCACAGTAGTTTACCCGATCTTCCTCCATTCAAAATAAAGAGTAGAATGCAGGACAATTTCGTGTACGCAATGAGTACATTGTACGGATGAATATGTTTATGCGGGTGGGTAGATAAATGGGAGGGTGGGCAAATGTAGATACAAGTAGTCTATGCAGATTGTGTGAGTGGTGAGTGGGAATAAATGATACAAATGACGAGAAGAAAAATGTTGGCAAGGCAGAGAAGAAGACAAACGCACATTTGAGTTGAGTATAGAAAAAAGACAGTGGACATCCGAGTCTAGTCATGAACAGAGAAAGGATAGTGAAATCGGAAGAGGAGAAGAGTATGAACCCATGGGATGATGAGAAGAAAGCCAAGAATGAGAATGCATCCTGAATGCAATGAACGGAGATCCGATGAGGTGGAAAGACTGAATAATCCCAGTTGAAGCTAAATCACGGCCACTGATACCCCAGAGCACAGAACAATGTGGTAATGGATAGATAAATGAAGTCAAAAGATTGTGCGCCTCGGGTTGAACACGAGACGAAAACAAGCCGAGTAGAGTATTGAAAGAAATAAAGAAGAAAGTCGCATAAATGATAAAAAGATGGGGACAACTCAACGAGTTGTTAAATGTCCCCTATAAATTCCAGTAGCTACGACGGGGACTACACAAACGAGGTGCGAACAGTTGGAATAAGCACAATGTTCGTTATTAAAAAGAAACAGGAGCTATCACGTTGGACGCCCGTGCATTGACTCGACGCTCTTGAGCTTGTTTATCTAGGTAGATGTAGTTTCCACCGTCGTCGTCAATTGCAACATGTGGCTTCCAGTGATCAAAAAATAACTTTAGACGACCTAACCCGTTTGTACTTCCCAGAGAGCTCTGGTGATCTGAGTCTATGAAACCAGTGGAAGGAGAACACGGAGGTGTGACGCACGGAGCACGGGATGGAGGGGACGACGCAACTGAAGCGGCCGCGGAGGTAGTGGCATTTGACGACGCAAGACCCACCACAGGAAGCCCCTCATAAACATGGGTCAAATCAAACTTCGAAGACCGATGCGAGGCAGGTGTCACTGCTGGTGGCAGGGAATCGATAGAAGGAGCACCTGACTCTGAAAAGGTCATGAATAAAACAGCAATATGTTAACGGTTAGCTTAGAAAGTAGTTTATCATTTTACGTGGTATACTGTGTTCACTATGATGCAATTTATCTGCCGTTCAGCTCTGAACTTACCAATGAAATCAAATCCAGACCATGCAACCAAGTGTGACTCCCAAGTAAAAACAACATTCACTGAACCCTCGCAGGCAGCTGAAATAGTCATTGAAAATGTGAATATCTTGCAGGACAATCTACCAACCAAGTAATCACTGGGAATTTAGGATTTTTTTACTACAACTGTCTTGGAGTGAATCATCACTGTTATCATACAGCGAAATACAGTGAAGCGAAATTCACTGAACGCTACAAAACTCGCAATGCACATAAAATTAGTGGCAATATGTAAGGTGGGCAGAGATAGAGGGGAGAGCATCAATCAATCACTCTGTGGGGGGAATAGCGTATGTCAAACACCGTCACACTGTTGCCCAGATTATCATATACAGCTTGTTGCACGGGTGAGATCCAAAGTTTAAGGTTAAAGGTTTGAACCTTGCCACCGTAATCCACATTGGGTGATTGGGTGATACCGGGCCCATCATGTTGCGGCATTATGCAGGTCACTGTTACAGATCTCAAAGGTTAGGTTGCGGGCCCCTACGACAGCGGTTAACCTTTGTAACCACAGGGTCTACCCTTTCTACTTTCCTCCACATCAAAGTGTGCAATAAATAAGTTTTCAATAGCTTTGATGAAACAGAGGGCAACTGCCATATACATCTTTGTGTGATGAGAAGTACAACGGACGTTTTTATTGTCTAGTTTTGGGAACTGGTGAACTACGCTCCGGAAATCGGAATGAAGATCCATAGAAGACTCTGCTTCTTTCAAGGCGGTAAACCACTATGTACTTGTTAATGACCATATGAACATATTGTTGCTGGGTATTATCCGAAATCAGAACAAAGTAGTTGACAAATTAAGTGCCGTCATTTACCACTGCATAGGGCAGATATCAGCAACACGGAACAAACAAAACAGCTTACTGGATCGTGAACGAGACTTTTTCGATCGAGGTAAAGAATTGGTTGATCGATGAAAATCGGCTTCCAGTCTCTGTCCAGCCATGCGCAATCGTTTCGCTTCGGAAGCAGCATTTCGCATGTAATTATCCGACTGATAGCCCATCTGTTGACCAAAGGGGCCCCACTGCTCGGTGTCACTCACTCCACTAGAGTAGTTTGTGTCTGTTAACGCATGACGATCGCTCAAACACGAGCCACGCATCGATGAACAAGAATCGTTAAAAGACGAACATAATGGTTTTTCTCTAGATGAGTGCATGTTCATAGCGTGTGCACGTCGAAGCTGATGTACAGGCATTGTCATTGAAGAAACCGTGGACGTGGCCAATTGCATTATCCCGGGTAAGTTTCCAAACATTGCCGGGGAACCAGATGGAGGGGAGACTGAAATCAGTATCTCTGGTTCCGGAGTGGAACTTTCAGTAGCGACCTGAGAAAGGAATTTGAAAAACAAGTGTCAGCGGACTGGGTATCAGCAGTGCAAAATGCTTCGTATTTCATCATCAATAACTGTTAACTGTAATACGACCGCTTGGGTTGCTGTCTTTCGGGCAAGTAGGGTTAAACTGTGAAGTGCATCGTTAAAAATAACATACAGAAAGCACAAAAACTGCATAAGCGCAGAAAGTGCGTATACGCATGAGTACCACTGTTGAAGACACTCAGTCATATCACTGTGCCTCTAACGACCGACTACACTGATCCCGAGGTGGTAATCCAGGAAGCCTAAGGCGACTTGTGCCTGAGAGCACTCATCAGGGTTTTCGTACCCTCGTACCAGATTTTATTATGACGACGTCCTCGAAAGAAAATAGCCAGCGACTATGGGGACGTTTCACGTACCAATTTACCATGAAGCTCCATGATTATCATGGAGCCAGTTTATCCTCCTCAAGAGGCCGATAGCAGTAAAGAAAAAAAGAAGTAGAATGGGAGGCACTTCAAGTGTTTTTTTTGAGAGGAAAGGAAGAACCAGAGAGATGAGAAAGGGGGCATTTTAAAAAAGTACCTGAGACTTTGGAGTACGAAATACTTTGCGGTAACACAGCGACGAATGGGATTTTGTTTGGGGAACATACCCGAAGCACCGTGTGAGTGCTTCTACAGACCAGTTGTGCAAGGGTTTCCGTTGTGTTGTTAATTTAAACTGACTATTCTTTGGACTTCACCTTCATGCCCAATCTCCAGTTCATCCAGCCAAACATACACTCGGAAGCACTAAACTCGAGTTTCGCTCTTATTAGAGCTCATTGGTAGTGCATATCCACCGTCCCGTCCGGGCTTTCAACTCCGGAAGTCAATTCAAATCAAAATCAATTATCCCACACCACTGCTCACAAGTAACTTTGAGTTAAATGCGGGTTTCGATTGTGCTTTGTTCGCTGGTTCGTTAATAATCGATCCAACGTTCCGGATGAACCCTTAGGATCATGAGCGCGTTTAGACAGGCGGAATGTGGACGGGACAATAACTTATTGGCTGAGGGCTATCCAGCTCAGACGAGTGGTAGATGTTCACTGAAATATAAAAACTCCAACCGTTGGGAATAAGGCACAAGCACCCTGCTCTTACATGCACCCATTGAGGGTTTTGAAAACGGTTAACTTCTCCGCGGTTATTTGCTAGACTGAACACTCCAGGGGACGAGAGTGGACGGTAGAAAAAAACCTGAAATGCCAACTTGTAAGACTAAATTGGCCTCGAGTTGTTCACCTTTTAGGCCAGAATGGATCTGCGGCTATGAGAAGCCATTCTGTATAGCTCACTGAATCAGGAGGATAAGAAAGCCATTACATCATGTCAAGACGCAGTCTTGTGATGGATGTCAAAAAGGGAAAAAGCGCTCTTAAATGAGGATGGGGGGGGGGGCTGTGAATATTTAATTGTGACCTTGCAAGCCTAGTTGAACCGATGGAAATACAAATCTGAGTGAGCAGTTAGAATCAGCAAAATAACTTGAGTCTTTTCCCACTGCCAGAACACGTCCCTAGGCAAGGTATTGGCAGGCATGTGAAGGAATCGCATCATGGAATCAGTCGACGAATGAGGATACGAGGCAATAAACAAACCAGTAAAGTGAGAGCTCAGGAAAACAAAAGAAGCTAAACAAATATATCTCAGTACTGCATCAGCCACCTAACCACTTCAGTTTTTGTGATAAAATAATGAGATAGCGAAGCACCGTTGTCGTGCTGGTGATGAAGGGCCATAGGCGAGATCATTATAATTACAGCTCATTAGACCATATCCGATAACAAAATGAGCTTTTCGATCTCTCGTAAGGTTGAGCAAAGATTAGCAAGAAGTGCTGTCGTAACATAAGTATAAATCAAAGCAACTCTGTTTGGTGGTGTGAAATGAGTGGTTCACTTGTAAACTTTATCTCCAAGTTCAGCTGTTCAGTCATCTCGTCTGAGGGGAGAAAGACGTAGAGAAGACAGATATTTCAATTAATAAATATAGGAAAAGTATCAGGCGATCGGCTTTACTAACTGGCAGTGAATTCGAATGACAAATTTCGCAAACTGTCGCATGTGAATCGATTTGAATTAACTCACACGTAAATATGGAATTGACAAATAATAAGTGGTATCGAGAAAAATGACTAGAATGCAGTAACCGCGGTCTGATCTACATTAACTCTTGCGATTCAGAAGAATCACTACAACCGCTGTAAACGAACTGACATTCAAAAAAACATTCAACTTCGGAGACGACTAATGACGTCACAAACTTATCTTTGATAGGCTTTCCTTCTTCCTTTTTTCATTTTACTTCCTTTTATTGAATGCATAAAGATACAATTTTCAGGAAGGGGGAAGCGGCCAATCAAAGGGCTGCCATTCAACACACACTGGGGCGGGAAGTCAGGCGATGGTGGTGAGATTCGAACACACATCCCCGGGGTGATAATTGGATGACGTTACCAGCGGGCCACCACCGCCCTGCCGTTACCCTGTGACGACCTCTAACTGTACTTTAGCATCCATAACACAGGGAAGAATGAAAACACCTTTGCGGCACATCCATCAAACGTAAGTTATATTACACCTGAAGCTTTCATCCAGTCAAGTGACCCGGGAGCCAAAGAGTAGTAATAGTAATGGTTTTGGTAAACAAATAGGCGTTCAACGCATAATCCTTTTCCATCTGAGTGTTAACTTCTTCGAACGTGTGTATATTAAACTGAAATAATCTAAGTGAGTACATAAATAAGAATTCGTAAGAACTGTAGGAGGCTCAGTCAAGAAACCCGCAGAAGAATTACCCTGTGTACAGAAACGAGATAATTTGAAACTTATTTTCTATCGTGGAAATAATACGTGAGTCTCTAGGTTCATCGGAAAAAGAAAACAGCGGGAATTCCAATAAAATAATTATCCCGATGAGCTTTTTAGAGAACTGCGTTCAATGACAGGCTAAAACCTGTGATCATTGAGTGAAATAAGTTGAGAGACGGAGCTAATTATACCGAATTTAACTATCGTTTTATTCTCCATCGATTGTCCCTCGGAAAGTTTAGCGTACATCCCAAAGATGCAATGCAATCAACCGATCAGGAGAAATACGTATGATGTCAAAAACAAACGACTACGGTAGGCGATGTTTATGGGGCACATAGACTAAAGAACAATGAGTAGACTCACGGGCGCCAATTTTTACGATAAACAGTTATATCACTCAGTGTCTTTAAACTGACCCCGAGGTCCCAATCTAGAAAACCTAACGCGAACGAAATCAGCAAGTCTTCTGGTCAGGCTTTTCAAACCCTCATGCCAGGTTTGAATTTGACCACCCATTACCTGTCTCGGCAAACATCGCGCATCGTGGCAAACCAAACTGGTAACGTGCGTAACACATGCTTCAACCAGCGTAGTCTATAAAAGCCACCCACTTACTCCATTGAGCAACCGCGATCACCTCACACTCTGCGCCTAACCTTAGAATTGCTTGTCCGGTTGCCCCACCAGACTAGAGAAATGCGGTGTAGATAGTAGTAGTCGAACATTAACAATTTATCTTTATCCTGTTCCCGTAATAACCAAGTCTCTGTGCCGTAAAACAGCACTTGCCGAACTGCTGCACCATATACTCGATCCTTCAAACAGCCGAATGTCATGACGGTGCCGGAGATGACTCAAGTTGGCAAATGTCAACCAAGCCTTTTGTATGCGATCCGACATTTCATCCTTGAAGCGTCCGCCAGCTGAGACATAGTTGCCGAAATAACAAAATTTGTCCATTTGCTCTATTACTTCTCTCGTAACTGTGAAGTGGGGAGCTGGACCAACGCAGTCCTGCAGCAACATTTTACAATTTGGAGGTCCAAAACGCGTATCGAACATGGCTCCACTAGCCCATACAAACTATTCGGAGAAGCCTGCAGCTTAGTAGTACGATGTCGTATGCCTACTTCAAACTGGTGTTTGCCAACTGGAAGCAACCCAATATCACTATCCCAAATTTACGGTTGACTGCATGAAGTGAGTACGTGAATATGAAACCTGAATGATGACCCGCCTGCCTCAATATCACGTGACGAAAAAAGTTTCCTTGTCTAAGGATTGCATATCACGTAATGGGTCTATGGTACAAGTCTCGGCCCATTCACATTAAAAAGATGGAAGTTGCAGAGGCAATTGATTGCCACCTGTTACACCCAAACCTGTGGGCACAAAAAAAGAGAAACACGAAATCAGTCACTCAAACTTCCCTGCACAAAAGTAGATCACGTCACGCACAAGTCTAGGGATGACCAGCCGTGCAACTCCTCTGCGTCTGAACAAGAAAAATAGCGAAAAATCGGGCTCTAACCCTTTCCTACCAAAACGTTGTTGTAACTGTTTTAGGATGAAATCCTTAAAAAACGTTCACATACAATTCTGAGTACAAAAAAACTCACCAAGGCTAAGTACTTTCTCACGAGTTCCGACGATAACGGATTATGAGTGAAAGATTCCGTGTTGTGCCACACAAACTTGTGTTGAGGTTCAGTGTCATTCACAGGAAAACAACCATCAGGAGTTCGGATTGAAACGGATCGACATAAATTATCTGTTAATTCATCGGAAGCGGAAATAGTTGTTGCAACAGAAAATTTTCGAGAATTTTCATCGGAATCATCATCCAAAGTGTTGCAGCCATTAGTCTGAAATTCAGTGACTTCTGACGGTGAAGGAACTACAAATGTGATTTTTGCAGCTTCGCGGGAAGCGGCAACTTGAGTAACATGCTCTGCAGCCTCTTGAACAAGAACATCCAACTTGGTGGGGCGTTCTCCCGTTAGAGCGAAAGAAGACCGACGAAAACGTGTCGGTTTAGGCAGTTCACCCAATGCTAGGAGGTTAGATTCCTCCGTTGCCGGACGTTGTAACGAACCAGGTTGCTTCTTTTTAGTCGTGAGCTGATGATGTAGAATGGTGAGAACATGGTATGCATATTCATTAGCAATTTTATGCAATAATGTATAAAACATGACTTCATCTACTTTGAGTTACTACATTCTTTGGTCACTGTACCATCAGCTAGCCGCTGTTTGGGATTATTCTTTAAAAATAGTACGTTGAGCAGATTGGAAATATATAAATATTCAAGAAAGTAAGCTTATATCGAAAGTTTTGCGGTTCGACAAGAACAAATCATGCTCCTATTATCACCTAAATAACTCGGCATACCACAATGAGGGAGTCAAGTGACCAGGAAATTCGTGAGTGGCAGCTTTTATTTAGCTGCAGTATGATCAGGGATGACTGTATGGAGCTGTGACTGGTCACCCCTCCCTTGCACCTCGCGAAATACTTCTATAACACCAAGTAACTCGAACGGCCTCTACTGAAAAAGCCCTACTCACTGAATTCCCGTGGTGGGACATTTGACCCTGTCCAAAGGGCGTAAAACCCGAAAAACTGAATATCGTCTACCAATGGATGGTGGTTTTCACACATCTAATCGTTATATTGCGAGTCAGGCTTTGACTTGGAGCATTGGTACATCCTTGTATCTATTCTTTTTCCTTACTTCCCTTTCATTTTGTACGCAATTACACAATTATTCAGGACAGGGGAGGCGGCAGTCAAAGGGTTTCCAAAGACGAGGGGAGAGGTAGGCAGCGATGATGGAATTCAAACGCCCACGGAGCTATAAGTTGGTAACCCTTATGGGTTGAACTACTGTCACACGGTTAAGTGCCAACGGACGCGTCCTAGAACTAACTCGATTGGCGACCTCATCGCTGCGCAGTAAAATCCATTCAAGATAACTTCACGGGTCATTAATAAACTTATAACATAACAACAGATAATGCTAAAGATATAAATAAGAAGTACTGATCATAATTTTTTTATCACACACTTTCGTATGAACAACAGACGGGGCGAACCCCATAATCACGAGGACCTGTTGTTCAGTGGTGGAAACCCATAGCCTAAGCCACGGTACTGGGAGTGGCGAACCACATAAGGCCCCGCTAGGATAGGCGTGGTATTGAACCGGAAGACAGCAAAGCTGCCTACCACCAAAGTTGGGTGGCTGTGGCGGGGCTTGAACCTCGGACCACAGGGTCCAAAGCACGCCTGTGACAGCGACTAAACAACTGCGACACCACCATAATGAATCTGACTAAATGAGTAAATACGAACGCGCAACGTGGATTAGGAGTGAACCTGCACCAAGGTAGAAAAATATACCGTGCACACAAACATAACCACTTTGATCTTTCACAACAAAAAGTAACTCAAAGCTGCCAGTTCGCCAACTTATCCTCCAGCATTTTCGTCTAACCGATTATATTATTCATTGCACCTCAACAAGGAAGAAAACCAGACATCGACTCTGTCAAATACCACTCTGAAGTGCTTCACACTTTGCTGGGAAGCAGCAAATGCGAGCAGGCAGCAGCGCAGACAGATTCAGTTATTGATTAAGCGAGCGAGATCCGCTTGCGCGAGCTTGTCGAGAATGCGAAATGCTTTGCCCAAATACTCACACACACACACACACACACACACACACACACACGCCTTTCTTCATTATGAAAACTCACTCACTTCCGTCTATCTGCATCAACTACGCAAAAAACGTAAACCCCCACTAGACTGATGTCCTCCACAGGCAAACCCAGCACCTTACAGAAGTAAAGTAGAACAGACCGTGCTACGTCAATATATCCAAGACCTATCAACTTCAGTGAAATTTCACAACGACACTAAGGTGATAGCTATTGAACGTTTAGCTCAGATGTAAGGGTTTGGGCTCCAAATCCTAAAGTTCGCAGTTTAAATCCCACTCGGAACATCAAAATAGTACGTACTTCCGAGTGGCACCAACAACAAAATAGGTGTTTGATATTCTGCATTCCACCGCATAGTAACATATTGAAGCTGTTTCACACCGGCAGATGCAATGCGAGTTCTGGATGCACAAGTGGATACCCCATTCACAGTGCTACCCTCATCCATCGTGGGAAAGCAACCAATCAGTCAACTTAAAGTAACCGTGGACAGTACAACATTGTACAGCCATATTACAATTGAAAGTTGCGAACCGCAAACTGAAATGAACAACATCGTGTGTTCATCCTTGTGTATGTTATACATTCCAATGGTCAAATTATATCAGGGCAGGATAAAGCTCATGAGTTCTCTCCAACTACGGATTTAGTGATTTCGAGACCACTGGTGGCACCCTCCAAAATTTCATCTATGATGAAGTTGAACCAAAATTACCAATTGAGGTAGACTTAACGGATATCGCTATTGGCTTTGAACTAGCTGATTAACCTTCTGTAGTCATCACCATTGTACAGCGTAATACAGTGAAGCGAACTTCACTGATCGCTGCCAAACTCATAATGCATACAAGATAAGTGAGAATGTGTAAAGAGGACAGGGATTGGGCCTATTTTTAGGGACGGGAAAAGAAAGCGAATCTCTATGGTCAACACACGGAGTACACAGCCCAACTGTGCATACATACTCGCTCAAGCATTCTGGCCTGATAAGAAGTGACAGCATGATCGCCATTGCTGTCGGTTCGCAGCCATGGCCTTCAGTGTCTCCAACCATGCGGTTTCTGCGTCTTTTGGACCCAAACCCGGAAGCCGAGAGACACCTACTCTACCTAATCGCTCTGTGCATTTCTTCATGGCTCGTCTCCACGTCATCTGCTGGCCTCCATGCGGCTTTCTCCAGCCTGTATAAGCCATTGCAAACAAGGCGCGCTGCGGAAGCGACCGTCGGACATACGCAAAACGTGTCCTAACCAACGGAGCCTACTGATTTGGATTCGATGAGGTAGTGAATAAACTGTAGAGTGTTACTTGACTAGACGTGTACATGCATGGGATTGCGTACTTTAAGGAAATATCCTTAAAGAAAGGGAACTGAATAGGATTTCTAGTGTGGTAGATATGGTAACACAAGATCTGCGTTCAACATCAAAACAGAGAACTCTTACGCGCATTGCATGTTGTCATACTGAACGTGATTTATTGCTAAAAACGCAACACAACTCACATCAGACACTGTGGCAACTGAATTAGTCCGCCTCCTTGTGGAAACTGATTTGGTTCGAGTGGTATCTGGAGCAATCATCGTCAAATAACTGCTAATGAAACAGACATTTCTGAAAAGGAAATATAAACGTAGTATACAAGTCTGAAGATGTAAGAATGGCATTTTTTTACAAATTTAACTCTTCCATCTGCTTGTATCAAGTGAGGTCAATTTGTTCACAGACCTCCGTTAAGTTAAGTTAAGTTTCAGTTTGTACAACCATTAACCATGCACTTTCGTGCGCCGGTTTTGTTTGCTATCTTTTGACTGTCCATTTGGATGGAAATTAGGAGAAAGACAAGAAAGAATGAAAGTAGGATCGAAGAGAAAATTGAAAAGTTCAGTGGATTAATGATACAGATATATTGAGAAGATGCACGAACGCCACTGTTTACGACACAGCTATATCACTTGGCGTCTCTAGCCATCGGGTATGATCATTCCGAGGTCCCCATACAGGGAGCCTAACAGGACCTACGTGACCCAGACTCCCAGTCAGGGTTTTCATACCCTCATGCCAGGTCTTCGTTTGATCACTCTTTTCCATCTACTGCCTGCCTTGACAAACATTGCTCGCCGTGGCAACCTATCTGGTGACATGCGTAACACATGCCCCAACCAACGTAATCTATGGAGGTCGATCACTTGCT